AGATTCTATTAATTTAACAAAGGTATCTTATCCATATTTTTCTAGAAAATGTTAATTCTTCGCAGATTCACAAAAAACATTCTTAAGTTTTTTTTTGCAGGTGTGGCTATTTTCATCCTGTGGTCTTCTAAAAGGTTCTCGGCGGATTTAACCAGTCGAGTCGACAGGGGATACTTACTCCTCCTCGGCACCTGGGGCAGGATTCATTAAACTTCTTAATATATTCTTAAGATAAAAAAATCACTTACGCTATTCATTTTTTACTTAACATTCATAAGTACTGCTTAAAGTTAGTAAAAAAAAAACTTAAGTGTAACATAAACATACTTAGTGCTTAAGTATTGACTTAAAGTTAAATATCCTCAGGAGGTGTCTTGATTAGATAAGAAATACGTAAGCAGGTGTGTTTGAGCTTAAAAACTACTTTTCTGCATTGTACATGTATATTGATTTGTACTTTTTTTATCAACTCCTTTTTTCTTGTTCTTGGGGATCAGTTAACTTTTTAATGCATTCATTGTGAAATGGATGACTATCCATGTGAACATTTCTTTAAAAATACTTATATTAAATTGGCAAGGTTTAGGGGTCATGAATAAAAGGAGGGATGTTTTTAAAATTTTAAAGGAAAAAAATTACATGTGCATTTCCTTCAAGACACACACTTTGTCAAAAAAGATGAAACAATGAAAAAGTATTATGGGAATATAAGGCTTTTTTTAGTTCATACAAATCAAACTCACGGGAAATCGCTACAGTTATTAATAATAAAAAATTGCTGTTAAGAGCGTTTGTCTGAAATTAAAAAGATAATAAAAAACTTGAATCCATTGCTTTAATCCCTCAAAACAAATTCACAATAAGATATACTTGACAAAAACAGCCAAGGTCTGAGTAAAGCAAAGAATTGCAAAAAACATTTTCTATGCCATTAGTGGTACGAACTAAATTCTTACCGAGAAGACAGTTCAATTTCTGGAGAAGTCTAGAAAAAAATTTTGAAAAAAAAAAAAAAAAAAAAAACCCAGCAAACTTTATGAGAGGAAGAAACCTAAATAAGGAATCCACTACATTACATTTCTTTATAACAGCGTCCAAACCTAAACGCCATGCATATTAAGACAGTTTAGGGGATAAACAGTGGCCCTTTTCATAAAAAATTCTACGACTAGATGAACATTTTTCCTCTTTAATTATTTGATAAATAAATGTAAATAATAAAAAAAAAATCTTTAATATTTATACCAAGTAACTGAAAGCAAAAAGAAAAAGAGGGGTTTTTTTATGTCAACTCTGATATATTTGAGGCCTAGGTTTGCTCTGCTCCAGGTTTGTATTGTTTTATTGTACTTTTCAGCTTGAACACTTTCTTTACGTCCATATTTCATGTTCTAGATTCCCAGCAACAATTCAAGATATCTATATGAAATCGTGACAAGAAAACATTGATGTAACCATCAATTGTCGCCAGAGAAATATGTTAAGTAAACAATGAAAATGAGTCTTGATCATCAAACCATTCGATGTGTGAAAAGGCATGCGTCTAATTCATGGAGACGATAGTCGCAAATATTTTGAAAACTTGTAGTCGGATAAAAATCAATCAAAAACAATACCATTTAAAACTTGATCATTTCCTCAAGTTAATGTTGGCTGCATAAAATATAAATTGAAGTTAGACACATGCATCACCTATATTAAAAAATATATTTAATGTTCAATTTTAGAATATAAAACACGAGCTATGCAGAGTACGTTTTTATGCGAGAAGTAAAATTAGATGTTCTAAAAAAAAAAAAGGGACCTGTCGTTTTTTCAATGGTAAATGATAAGCAATTTATATATTGAATATGAAAATCATGTATATTTTTAAAGATTCACTTTATTGAAGTAAGTATATTATGTATTTCGTAATTTATAAACGGAAAGAACATTCTGATTAACAATCTTTTCAATGTTTAGAAAACCTATAATTCTAATAACTACTCCCAGTCCAATCACCATACACCAATATTTAAGCTTATATATATGTTACAGTAAATAAGTGTAATCAGGAATTTCAGGTATTTCCTGAATTTTAGGAAATACATGAAATTCCTATTCTCCTTAGGGAATACACGTATTTACTAATTTCAAGTTGAAAATACACGTAATTACTGAAATTTTCAATACTTTTTACAAGTATTTACTGACTGTGTTTTGGTGAGATTATTTATTTATATTATTTGAATTTGAATATTAACGGATGCATAGTATATTCAATGTTAATATTAGTTAGCACATTATGTAAAGAAATAATATTTTAAATACACCCTATTCATTCATAAAGGCATTGTGTAGAGGAAAAGTAATCGCTAGTTATAACAATGTATGTCGCTATCAACCAAATACTGTTTTAATCAGTAAAGCATGATGCAAAAACTTACACGACTTCAGACTTGCAGACGTCAATGTAAACAACTTCACTATACGGAGTGTAGCGAATCCCGATCCCGATCAAAGAAAGAATTGATTACGGTTAGAGATCCATACTTTTCAATATATATCGGTATAATAAAACAATTGATTACTCCTTGTGAGTTCAACATGTGAAATAAGGACCCGAGACCTGACCCACTCGATGACCTGCCCTGACCTCGGCCGTTACACGGCCTCGGTCAGGCCAGGTCACCTCGTGTGTCCCTATTTCACCATGTTGACCTCAAAAGGGGTAATTAAATGTATAATAATAGCATAAAAAGCATTTTAAATGCTGATTTTATACAGAAGTTAAAAATTGATCGCATTTTCAACAAAAAGACTTTACATGACATGTTTTCGTAAACAATGGAATTGTGAGTTCAGTAGGTTTTTTTTCACCTTTTAGAAGTTTTGTAATACCATAAGTAATATTTGAGGAACTTTCCATCATTTTTTAAGTTTTAGCAAACAAAATTAATTAAAACTTCTCATAGCAATGTTTTTTTCACCACAGATCTAAATCCAAAAACTTCAAGATGAAGCCCTGCCTTTTAATCGTGCTCTGTGTGTTTTTTATTGGTATGTATTACATGTATATGTTTTATATTATATTGACTGACGTTTTTCATACTAATTGTTAGTCCATTATTTATACACCGAATTGACGACGGATATCTCCGTTATTTCCCGATCATGACACGGGAACACAACGGGTGTAACCGGTCAGTAGGGGATGCTCACTCCTCCATGGCACCTGATCCAACCTCTGATGTTTAAGAGGTCCGTGTTTTCTCTGCTCCTAATTTGTATTGTTTTATAGATTTTGATATTGAATACCGTTCGTTATGTCCATATGCTTCATTGGACAGTTCATTTGTTTTACTCGATAAAATTGTTTCCAACTTTCCTTTGTTCTCTGATTAAAATCAATTCAAGCTTTATAAGAAACAAATAATTTCCATTCTGCATTTGATATTGATTTCGCAGATTCTTTACTACTTAATGCTATTGTGCACCTCCTATTTTATACTTTTTGATTTGACACTTATTTCGGGTCTCAAAGAGCAAAACAGGGTCTTTGTCATTATAATCATATGGGAGGCGGGGTATCATTAAGTGAGCTCATTGCTTACCGTACGTCAAGTTTCACCTAAACACATCGGAGGTGGTATTAGGTGCCATGTTGGATGGAACATTCCCGCCGTGTGCTCTTAGACATAATCTTGAAAACGGAAAAACCCGTACACAATGCATTGTGTAAATGATGGCCTAATAATTAGTATGAAAAACGTCATTCATCATTCCTATTTGCTGAATAGGTCATTGTATCGACGATGAAGCGAAATGGCTACTTTTAACAGGAATGTTGATATTCTTCTATAATTCACTTTTTTGTTAATAGCTTGTCTCGTTCTAATCCTTTACAGTTCTTGTAATAGATCTGTTGTTAATTGACCATGTATGTCTAGAAATGATACAGATGTGACAGATTCTGTGGTGTCTTTTATCTCGTAAGTATTGTAAATTCAAACTACCGGTAGTAAATATATCAAAAGCAAGGCTTGCAATTCCAGTAACTTGAATTACCCAAAATAGTGGTTGATGTTTCAACGTCTTGAAATAAGAATACTCATACATAATTTAAACTTGTGAAAAGCAATACTTTTCATGTTTCATGGTTTTGAGACCAATATCAATATGCAATTGTGATTTTCTGTCTTAAGATTTTGGCCGTACCACGTTAAAGAGAACAACTAGTATTTACTTATTGGTAATATATACACATTTTTTCAACACAATGTACTTTTCTCTCTTTTTTTTTTTGATAATTGAATTGCAATGTCAGAAAGTGTCTGTTTACTCCATCATAGTTATTGTGAAAAAATACATCTTCTTCATCAATATATAAACAATAGTGAACAGAAGAAATTTTAATCTTTTAATTACAAAAATTATTCTATAACATGTAACTAGAGACTCTTTTTGAATTTAAGATTTCATCTACTGGTAAGATACAAATGTGCAATATTGATGACATAGCTGTACATTACACTTATGTTCTAATAGACATAGAACTAAATACCTCCATAACAAAAGAGTGCACTTTTTGTTCAGGAATTTCCAAGTGTTGCTATGGTGATTTAATTTAGATGCTCTAATTTTCTCAAAATTAAACCTAGTTAAGAATAACACTTAAAATTTTTATGAATACGACAAGATTATTTTCTTAGCAAAGAATTTATCTATACGTAAGTGTGTATCTTAGCACAAATCTATGTATCTTTAAAAATCCCAGACCTGATCCCTTCTCTGTCCGTGTATTGATTGGCTGCAAATATGTATTGTTCCTATGGACTTTTGAGTTGGAGCAATGTTCGTCATCTTCATAATTTAACCTTTATTCTCAGATCTATATCGTTCGTAAGTTTCTTGAGATCAGTTTTTTTTCGCTTTTTTATTTTATCTTTTTCTTTCATGAGGTCTTTTGAAAGGTTTCATTTTTTTGTCTTAAAAACCTATAACAGATGTCGGCTAGTTTAATGTTTAAAGACTTTTTGTAGATGTCAGCTAGTTTAATCCAGAAGGCTTTACGCAGCTGTAGCCTAGTTTTATCTTGAAGGCGTTTTGAAGTTGTCGGCTAGATCATCTTTACGGCTTTTTGCGGGTGTAACCAAATTTAATCTTGAAGGTCTTCTGCAAGTGTCAGATAGTTTAATCTTGACGGCTTTTTGCAGGTGTCAGTTAGTTTAATCTTAAAGCTGTTGGCGGGTGTAAGCTAGTTTAATCTTGAAGGATTTAGCAGGCGTCGGCTAGTTTTATCTTGAAGTCGTTTTACAGGTGTAATCATATTTAATTTTGAATGCTTTTTGCAGATGTCGGCTAATTAAATCTGAAGGCTTTTTGCAGGTGTCAGCTAATTTAACGCAGAACCTACGTCGTATGACATCATAACTAGTGAATGTGTTTAGCCTATGCTAGATCCATTATGACGTCATAATTTATTCAATGTCATTTCCTGTACTTTACAGCTTCAGTATAGAAATGGTAGAAAATACTGCATTTTGAAATTCACAGAATTCAATTTAAAATCATGCCGAAATAATCTTAATTCGATTTATATATATTTTTAATATAATGCTTAATGATAACATATTTCTTGAATTAGAGAGCCTGTAGGCACCTTTCATTTAATAGATCTTGACCTTAATTAAGTTAACAAAGCCAAGACTATATTGTGTGATGAAATTACAATGTATACAACTTACTGTAATAAGGTAAGTGGTATGTAACTTTGAAATTTTGACTGAATGCAAAAATCCTTAAAAAATCGTCAGTTGCCAACTAAGTAGTGTAACATCTTGATGAAATGTGTCTAAGTCAAAGATGTACGTGTTGAAGATTGTGTGTACATTTTGTGTATCTATCATGAAATGATTTGCATTCCTTTTCATAATTATTTGTTACTTATTCATATTCTTGGAGTTTTATTACAATTTCTCTATCAAATATGATCTTTTAAATTAAAAGTAGAATTTTTATAAACATTTTTAATCTGAAAGTAACCCCAAACAGTCATTTAATAATAAAATCCGTGTAAGTGCAAAAAGGTCAAGAATATTAGCATCGGTAAATAACCTATCTCTCATTAGTTAGATGCGAAAGGTATATATTTTAATCACTTTTTGTAATCATGTGGGTATGTTCTTTATCATATTAAAGATTGAAAACATTGTGACAAAAACTTCTGAAAAATATTTACAAATGTAGTGTGGAAAATTGACTGAAAATAAATAGAGTTTATTTGCTTATAGTTTTGAAAATGTGGACATATCTTTTATGTCAATTGAATAAAAAAAATCTCTCAGGAAATATTGTTTAATACTGTTCAATTAATAAAAAATAAAAACAACGATGTTTACAGAAGTAATTTTGGGATTTTTGTCTTCTTTGCATGATAAGTACCCCAAAAAATGACAAAAATTGTGAAGTCACAATATGTAATTTTTAGTCCATGTTTAACTGGCTGCACTATATTTAATAACAAGGAAACATGTCATGTGCTTTAAACTGATTGATAAGCAAGTGCTAAATTATCATTATGAAAAGTTTGAAAATCTTGTGACAAAGACTTCTCCGAAATAGGTTCTACCTTAATCTGAAGGCTTTTTGCATGTTTCAGCTACTTTGTCCCAGAAAACAAGGTTCCCCTGAGGATCGTCGGGGAACTCGATATAGGAATGACTTTCTACCAAGGCCAGCATTGATAAAGGCAACATCTTAGCAGTCACGTGTCGATACATAACCATAAACAGTACTTCCTTTCCATTCCGGGTATAGATACTCTCCATCCTTGCCATATTGAATTCATACATACACCAGTAAGAGTTCAGGAAGTGATTGGACAGAATTATGATTGTTTTACGACTCTTGGTAATGGCTTCTGTAATGTTTGCTGCGATCTCTGTACCGGGCTGGAAGTCCCTCTTGTCGAGGCACAGGCGCAGTCCTCTTGATTCCTCTAGCTGGGAAATCGACTCGTGCAGTGCAAAATCCCTGTCTTCATCAGCATATGATATGAAGGCATCAAACGTAAACGTATCTTGATATATAGGGCTGGCTAATCGGTATTTGTTTTTGGTCATATAAAACAAGTAACGTAGTTTCCATCGGTACCGGTAAACTAAACCGGTAACGATGATTATCACGAAGCACACTATCACAGAAGTTATTATGAATGTTAACGCTTGATAATTTTTACATTGAACCTCAAGCAATCGCAAAACTGTTTCTATGTCTTGGAAACCAAAGCTTGTTCCATTGTCTAACTTACATTTCATCTGATAAAAGTCCGAGATATGTTTGCGATTATTGGAAGACCACTGTAAAAAATGTCGAGAATGGCATGAACAAGCAAAGGGATTTTCTGCCAGAAAAATTTGAAAATGTCTATTCTTTTTTGATATTTCTACAATCGAGGCAGTGGTGTCCTGACTGAGTTGCCTTATCGTATTGTCTGAGATATCAATCTTGAGCAGTTTCCACATGTTATCAATCTTCACATTCCATTCTGTCAAGAAATTAGAGCTTAAGTTCAGCGTTTTAAGCTTTCCTAGATTTTTGAATAACTTTGCAGGAAGCACTTGTATTCTGTTGTCCGATAAGTCTAGCTCTTGAAGATTGACCAGATTCTTAAAGGTTGCTCCGTCCAAATCGTCTTTCAGACTGAAACCTAACAGGTTCTTGTTAAGCTTTAAGACCTGCAACGCTGTCATAAAATCAAATAACCCAGTTGAAAGCGAGGAACAAAGACAATCTGACAAGTCCAAATATTTCAGTTTATTTAATCCTATAATGGGTCCCGTGAAGCTAGTAATGACGTTCTGTGAAAGGTCAACATGGGTCAACTGATTGGACGGGTTAGCAAGCATCTTAAACAGTTTCAAGCGTATTCCACTTGTTCTCAGTATCAGAGTTTTTAAATTTCTAGGCAGAGTTACGGTAATATTATCTCTCATTTGGAATGGTTCTGTATTGTGTTTGTTATAATGTCTCTCTATTCCGTTATCGGAGGGTAGTATAGGGTTCTGACAAATGAAAGCGTCTATCAGTTTGCTAAGGGGCCTGGACTCCATCTGAAGAGACAAATCAAGTAATTCCATCCCTGTCAAGAACACGACATCCATTAAGTAAGTACTTGGTTCCAATTTATTTTGGACAAGCGACATATTTCTGAGAGTTGGGGGAAAATAGCGGATAGCATATCTTTCAAAAAGAGTTATTCTGTTGTTCTCTAGGTGAAGTTCTTCGAGAGATGTTTTCCAAAAGTGAATGACGTCACGAACTTGTATCACAGTACCTAGTCCATACGTGCAGTGGATTTTATTAGCTTTAAAAACCTTTATTTTGGAAGACTGTAAATCGCTTGTTATATTTGCAAAACATGCAAACGTAAGTTTTTCATTGTATGAAATATCAAGGACCGTTAGATTTCGTTGTTTTATCAGGGCACCTGCTGAGAATCCTTTTATCTGACACGAAGACAAATTCAGAACCTCCAAGTGAGGCAGATATTTCAAGAACGTTTCTCCAATTTCTTCTATAGAGCAAAACCCCGAAATGCCTGATACGTCCAGGGATGTCAGTGACGTCAGTGAGAGAAACTGTGGACCAAATTGTGTCGAAGATATAACGTCAATTCGAAGAGTCTCTAATGAGGAGAGATGTTTCCACATTTTATCTGGAAATGAGTTGTTCAATACTTTCATTGTAGTCTTCTTGATGTTTAGTACACGTAGAGCTTTTAAGTCCCGGAAGATTTCCGGCGTGAATATGCTTTCGTCCATTTGGAGTTGATTTCCTTCTAAATTTAGAGTTCTCAGGCTTTTTAAGTTTGTGAACGCGTCGTGAGTAAAGTTTCGAAGCTGGTTATAAGACATATCCAAATCCACAAGTGTGGGACTGAACGGATGCATGATGTGACGTATTCTATTATGTCCTAGATTTAGAGTGTCGACATCAGGTCGTGTTCGCGGTACATCTGTGATTGCGAGATTTGAACAGTCTGCTATATAGTTCTTATTACTGTTTAAGATACAGCTACAATTAGGATTACTTGTGCAATGATTCCAACTTTCTGTTCCCATTACAGCCACAAAGCCACCAAAGAAAGTAAAAAATATCTGAAAAGTAAAAGGTATATCATATTACGTTTTTTTCTTTATATTTAATCAATGAGCAACTGACGTGTAATATATTTAAAATAAGAGTAAGGAAATGGCCATGAATTTTTTTTCTGAAAATTGCATTACTTTTCTACAATTTCAGTCTTAAACAAGAGGTATTGTAAGCACTAACCTCACTAAACGATATTCCCTTATATGATTACTTGTATAATGGCAAATTGTATGTTTTTCTCACGAAATAAGTTTTAGTTCAAAATGTAAAATAAGAGACGCACAATTGCATTATGTGTAGTGAAGAATCTGTGAAAGTATCATTAAATTTCATTCTGTAGTATGAGAGGAGTTGCGGAAAAGATTAAGGTACCCTGCGGTGTTATAGAAATGAAGATAGTTTCCACGTTTTGCTACAGAAAAAAAATATGTGTCCGAACAAAAAAATAAAACAGGACGTGCAAAGTGGCACGTTTATAAATCTGTTAAAGTTTCATTAAATGTCACAAGTGACTTAAAAGAAGTTGCGGATAATATGCGTACCCGAAAGATTTACAGACAGACAGAGATACAGCCATTCCGGTCACTGAATACCATGATTCTTCCATTGTTACATCTTCATGTATAACGAGCTCGAGAAAAGACTTGATAGAAGAATGACTCAGATGTTGTTGGGAGAGGTTCCTTATAATACAGATATGCATGTATATTACTGGTACATTTACCAGCATTTCAGCCACAGTTGTAGCGTTCCTTTTTTTAAAAGACCAATTATCACAGGCACGTAGGAGCGATTTTGGAGGGGGGCTGGCCAAAAAAATTGTTTTTACTTACCTGAAAAAATTGACAAGCAAAATAAAAATCTTATTCCGAAGGGGGGGGGGGGGGTTGGGTTGCCCCTCCCCCCTGTCGCTTCGTGACTGCATCAGAATTATTTTTTAATAACTCGGAGATACAAAAATGTTTAAAATCAATTTAATTTTAACATAATACTTGAATTCAAGAAAAAAAAAGAAATAGTATTAAATCTGATGATTTTAGGGATATAAACATTTGACTTGTCCTCATTTTTCAAATGCACCTTCAATTTTTAATTCATGTTTGTTGAGCTATTTAACTGATATGTAATTTGTAATACTTAGCAGGCCCCTGATCTGTTGAATACCTGTGTATTTTTTATGTTCAAACGAAAAGTTACTTCCTGTTTTGTACTTAAGGTATATTTCACAGAACACTGGATTCGTGTTCATCAGTCTTAACCATGCAACAAGTTGATAAATGACACTTGTAAAAAAATCTTTGAGCGGAGGGTATCCCAATCCCCCAACCTCCCTGAATCCGCCACTGTTTAGATGAGAATAAAATAGAATAGAAAGAATAGAATTTATTATCAAATCAGGGCCCACTGGGCATTAACATATAACAAATATTATTACAGTTTAACATGATAAAGTAATAGACAGAATACAATATATGATAAAGAGAAATTCTTCGTTAAGAATATACCATTTGTAATGGAAAAAAATTATGAATTATACGCAAATATACAGTGCTATTGAAATAGATTAAATAAAACTTACCCAGTTATAACTTCCCATTTCTTTTGGCAAGCGATGAATGTATCGGTATGTTTAAAATTGTTTGATGTGTTTCGACGTAGATATAGAATAAAATTAAGATCTTTTCCACATTCAAAGAGACTTGAAACGCTTCGTTTGACAGGGTATGATATCATCGCTCTAATTATCAATAATCCTTTAACTTCCCTAAAAGTAATAATAATAACACGGCAATCAGAAGTTGGACGGTTATTCGCTATTCGCCATTCGAATGGCGAACCGCAGGCTGTCTGCCGGTTCGCTATTCAAATTACCGTAAATGTCCTAATAATTTTTTTTTCAAAAAACCTTAATAACGCATTATAATCCGTGTTTAAGAAGAAAAGCAAAGACATCACTTAAAGAAGAAGAGTGAGGACTCCAAACCAATGCAGCTAGCCTGACCGAAATGATGAATATTTAGCTAGCCCGGTCAAAATTGGAAAAAAACGTTCAATATTATTATAAGTATTTCTACATAAGAGTAAATTACCCGGGGGCAGGCTAAGATCCTGGATCCCATATTTAGACTCTTATATTTTTACAAGGGGGGAGTATGGGAGAGACCTTTCAAACCTCAAAAGAAATTTATGTTACAATTTATGTGACATCTAATTAGCTAGCATGATCAAAATTGTAAAAAACGTAAAATACTATAATTATAAGAGTACATTGCCCAGGGGGCTGGCTTACATCCTGGATCCCATATTTAGACCTTGATATTTTTACAGGGGAGGGGAATGGGAGGGACCCTTCCACTGTTAAAAGGAATTTATGTTACAAGACCGGGAACCCATTTAGCTAGCCCGGATGAAATTGGGAAAAAAAGCCTTATAATTCTATTATATGTATTTTTGAATTAGAGGGGCTAAATATCGGGTTCGATATTCAAATATATCTACTACATGTTTACTTTCTATAAATTGCAGGCAAACCCCCTTCTCTTTTGGAAAAACCCCCTGGATTTTATAGGAAACTATGTTTAGCTTTTACTTGTGGTACTTTTTTGAACTTGAACTTGTAGATTTCTGTAAACTTCCTATATTGACCAGATTTATTAAAATTTAGGGCATGTTGATATTTTTGTATACTTTATTTGAGAGGGGAGTGATTAGGCTTTCAGGCACCTGCTCGACTTCGACCGAAACAAACTTTCGTGATTTGTTGGATGGCTATGTACGGAAGCCCATTTAGTACCTATAAAAATATTTTTGAAAATTGATATAACGAATTGTCGAATTTGTTATAAGAAATTTCTTTGAATTTGTTATAACGATTTAATCTTTATCTTTTATCTTTTTAATCTTTTCAACAAATTAGTTGATTACATTATAACGAATTCTTCAATTTGTTATAACGATTTAAATTCGTTAAAACGAATTAAAAATTTGTCATAACAAATTAAATTCGTTTAGACAAATTCTAAAGTTTGTTATAACAAATTAAATTCGTTTAATAAAATTCAATAATCAGGGTCTATAGAAAAATACATATGAATTCGATATAATGATTTGTCGAAATCGTTTTAACGAATTTAATTCGTTATAACAAACTATGGAATTCGTTTAAACGAATTCAATGCGTTATAACAAGTTTTAGAATCTGTTATAGCCAGTTTAATTCGTTTTATCAAATTTTTGAATTCGTTGTAACAAAATCAACAAATTTGTTATAACAGATTAAATTGATCATAACGATATCAAAGAAATTATTATGACGAATAACTAATTCGACAATTCGTTATATCGGATTCAAAAATATTTTTCGATAGGTCCTAAATGGGCTTCCGTAGCTATGTACTTTTTTGGTAATAAAATCTTTTTAAAGAATTGTTTTTCAAGATCCAAAAATAAACTTCTCAGAAGTTTGTTTTAAATCAATTACATCTTCTCAAACTTGCGTAATTTTGGTAAGAATATATAGCAGAATTTAATACTGTTGTGCAACCTAAAGGAAGCCCACAAGTGGTAGATATATTCTACGTATTGAGCCCGATGTTTATTCGTGTAACAGGAAAGGAAAAAATGTATGGCTGGACCGGGAATCGAACCCGGGACCTCTGCATGTCTAGTCAGGTGCACTACCTACTGAGCTATCCAGGAAGATATCAACAGCCCAAACAATTACATTAGTAGTATAAGCATTCTAGATAGGGGAAGATTCTGATTGGCTGAGAGAAATCACATGATCAATTTTGATTGGTTGAGGGGATAGGGGGGTTCAACTGAGTGCAGTTCTAACCCTAACCCCTAACCCTAGCCCTAACCCTAGCCCTAACCCTAACTAACCCTAACCCCCCTAACCCTAACCCCCTAACCTAACCCTAACCCTAACTAACCCTAACCCCTAACTAACCCTAACCCCCTAACCTAACCCTAACTAACCCTAACCCCTAGCCCTAACCCTAACCCTAACCCTAGCCCCTAACCCCCTAACCCTTACTCCTAGCCCTAACTAACCCTAACCCTAACCCTAACTAACCCTAACTAACTGTATCCCTAGCCCTAACTAACCCTAACCCCCTAACCCTAATAACCCTAGCCCTCCCCTAGCCCTAACTAACCCTATCCTCCCCTTAGCCCCTTTTTAACCCTAACCTATCCCCTTAAATACTGGAGTTGTTTACACTGTGTTTATACTATACGTAGGTACTACGTTTTGTTTATGGACACAGGTAAATGCGGCGTGTGCAAAACATTACAAGAAT